AATATTTTTAACGGGGTTTTTTTTTGTTTTGTTTTTGTTTTTGTTTTTTTTTTTTTTTTTTTTTTTTTTAATGATGTCTCCAAGCCTGCAGGGAATAACTGGAATAACTCTGGGAGCTCTCCACCTCACCCCACACCTCAAACCCTCTTGCTGACCTTTCCATCCCTTCCCACCTCTCTGGGAGCTTGGGGGATGCTCCAGGGAAGGTGAGCTGCTCTGCAGGAGCTGGCAGATTCCAATTTTCACCCCCAAAAACCCAAAAAAACCCCTCGAGTCACCCCACAGAACCCCTCAGGCTGGGAGGGATCCCCAAAGAACAAATCCCACAGGAATCCTTGAGGCCAGGAACCTCCCAAGCTCCTTTTTCCTGGGATTTCAAAGCAGATTCCCAAATTTAATTCACCTCCAGGAATCCTTGAGGCCAGGAACCTCCCAAGTTCCTTTTTCCTGGGATTTCAAAGCAGATTTCCCAAATTTAATTCACCTCCAGGAATCCTTGAGGCCAGGAACCTCCCAAGCTCCTTTTTCCTGGGGTTCCAAAGCAGATTTCCCAAATTTAATCCAGCTCCCCACAGCAGCATCACCCAGCTGGGACATTGCTGAGTCTCTCGAGCTCCTCAAAATCCTCTGCAGCACTTCAGGGCTGGAACAATTAAATTTTCGTGCCAATTTTCATCCCAAAACACTCCCCAACACGTGGGCCAGACCCTGCTCCCCAGCAGAACGTCCCTAAATCCTCTCTTCCACACCAAAAATCCTCAGCCCCTTTTTCCCCCCTGAACTTTCATCCCCAGAGATGATTCTGCACTCACAGCACCCTAAAATTTCAGATTTTTTTACTTTTTTTTTCCCCACATTACAGGCATGGGAATGAGCACCTGAACTTCCTATGCTTTTATCCACTAGCACAAAGTTTTTGGGGTTGGCAGCAGGTCTCCCAGTCAGTGCAAATTAGCAAATTCTATTAATTGATGATGTGGAAAGCAAATAGGATTTAGGAAAATATCAGCTTTTTGAAGCTCTGCATCAGTTTGTTGTCCTATTCCCAAAGAAAATGGGGATCTGTAGGAAAAGATTTGTGAATTGAACAAAAAAAAAACCAAAACAAACTTTAAAAGAAAAATTAAATACTTTGGGGTTGGGGTTAAGTCATATTAAATAAAATTAGTTTAATGCCATTTTTCCCTAGCTGGGCTACAGGAAATTTCTCTACCACCAAGACACCTTTAATAAACACAACCTCAGGCTAACTTCCCAAAACCCCCCCACACAAAAAAAAGTATAAAATAAATTATCTTTTCTAAGGAACTGATCACGTGGAGCTTCCCAAAAACAGGAGGAAAAACAACGCCCAAAATATTCCCAAAAAATGGGATTTTTAACGCTGACACACCCAAGGCCAGGCACTGCAGTCCCCAAACTCCAGCAGGCACGGAGCTGGAGCTGGATTTCCCCCTGGAACAGCAGAGAGCAGCCAGAAAAATGAATATTTTTAGGTGCTGAGCAGGATTTAACTCCCCGGGCTGAAGAAACCCGCGTGGGAAGCTGCTCTGCCCACGGGCCTGCTGCTGGAGCCTGGGCCACCAGCAGAGCCAGGGCACCTCCAGGGACACCCTGGGCACCTCCAGGGACACCCTGGGCACCTCCAGGGACACCATGGGCACCTCCAGGGACACCCTGGGGACATCCAGGGACACCATGGGGACATCCAGGGACACCCTGGGGACATCCAGGGACACCATGGGGACATCCAGGGACACCCTGGGCACCTCCAGGGACACCATGGGGACCTCCAGGGACACCCTGGGGACATCCAGGGATGGGCACCTCCAGGGACACCCTGGGGACATCCAGGGACACCATGGGGACATCCAGGGATACCATGGGGACATCCAGGGACACCCTGGGGACCTCCAGGGACACCCTGGGGACATCCAGGGATACCATGGGGACATCCAGGGACACCCTGGGCACCTCCAGGGACACCCTGGGCACCTCCAGGGACACCCTGGGCACCTCCAGGGACACCCTGGGGACATCCAGGGACACCATGGGGACATCCAGGGACACCCTGGGGATCTCCAGCCACACCCTGGGCACCTCCAGGGACACCATGGGCACCTCCAGGGACACCCTGGGGACATCCAGGTATACCATGGGCACCTCCAGGGACACCCTGGGGACATCCAGGGACACCATGGGGACATCCAGTCCATCCAGGGCACCTCCAGGGACACCATGGGGATCTCCAGGGACACCCTGGGGTTCTCCAGTCCATCCAGGGCACCTCCAGGGACACCATGGGGATCTCCAGGGACACCATGGGGACATCCAGCCCCACCCTGGGCACCTCCAGCCACCCTGGGCACCTCCAGCCACACCCTGGGGACCTCCAGGGACACCATGGGGACCTCCAGGGACACCCTGGGGATCTCCAGTCCATCCAGGGCACCTCCAGCCACACCCTGGGGACCTCCAGGGACACCATGGGGACCTCAGCACCATCCAGGGCATCTCCAGTCCCACCCTGGGCACCTCAGCACCACCAGGGGCACCTCAGCACCATCCAGGGACCTCCAGCACCACCCTGGGCACCTCCAGCCCATCCAGGGGCACCTCAGCACCATCCAGGGACCTCCAGCCACCCTGGGGACCTCAGCACCACCCTGGGGACTGTTATCCCATCCAGGGCACCTCCAGCCACACCCTGGGCACCTCAGCACCATCCAGGGCACCTCCAGCTCATCCAGGGCATCTCCAGCCCCACCTTGGGCACCTCAGCACCATCCAGAGACCTCCAGCCCCACCCTGGGGACTGTCACCCCATACAGAGGAGCTCCAGTCTCACCCTGAGCACCTTAGCACCATCCAGGCACCTCCAGCACCACCAGGGGCACCTCCAGCATCATCCAGGGACCTCCAGCACGACCCTGGGGACCTCAGCACCATCCAGGGCACCTCCAGCTCATCCAGAGCATCTCCAGCCTCACCCTGGGCACCTCCAGCCCCACCCAGGGGTGCACAACCAGGGATGGACAGGGAACATCTCACCTGGAGATGCTGATCCCACCCAGGTCCCCCTCCCTGCCCCTGCTGAGGTTCCACCCCTGGAATTTCGGTGTGGCCTCACCCATCTGTGGATTTCCCACTTCCATTTCACCCACAGTGACATCAGAGGTGAATTAAGCAGGTTTTGTTTTGTTGGTTTTTTTTTTTTTCTGGGAATTGCTCCATCACCAAGCCCTGTGGGATATTTCCTCTCCCCCAAATTTAGCAGCTACGAAACACCCAGGACAAAAAACTTCCCACCAACAAAGGAATAAATCCTATGGGGATAAGGAACTCAACTAATCACAAAGAAAAAAAACCCAAAAAACTGTGTCAAAACATGAAGATTTCAACAAAACATTAAATAAAATAAATTACTAATCAGGAAATCTGACAAGTGCTACCTGGGAGTCGATGGGAATGACAATATTTCACCTGAAGGCAAATTCCTCTGAGCAGGAAGGCTTGGATGGAGAACAGAGCAGGAATTTCCTTGGGTCTATCCAAAAAAATCTTCCTGCTCAGGTGCCCTCAGCAGAGCCCTCCAGCTGCAGAGTTTTTGCCCCCTCTCAAGGGTTACAAGGAGTGGTTTTGTCACCAGACTTCTCCTGGCCAAGCTCAGGGCAGCTCTCACTGAGAGTTACAATAGCAGAGCCAGTCAAGCACCAGAGAAATTCAAAATCATGGGGTTTAAAACCTTTGAAATGTTGGTTTTATATATATATATATATATATATTTCTATCTATTTGTAAAAGCATCACAGAGTTCCTCATCCAAAAGGCCTCTCCACGAGGCCTCAGCTCCCAGTTTTGTGTCTGCTCCAACTTCAGCTGGGTTTTTTTTGGCTGCAATCTCAAAATTTGGCAGCAAATCTTCCCCACACAGGACCAGCATCACCCACATGCTGAGATGCTGCAGGTGCCCTTCCCCAAAAGAATTCCTGGGGAAGTTCCCAGGAGCAGCTTCTGGGAGGGGAACTCCAGGAAAGAGCCTGGAATCCTCACTCAAAGCCAAAATTCCTTAATGTCCAACCACTGCCTCTGGTTTCCAGGCAGTGGGATTGGTTTGAAGATCTGACATTTGATTTTTCAGGGGGATTTGTAGGTTTCCATCAGCATTTTTATGCCTCCACACCAATCCAGGTGGAATTGGGATCTCAGTTAAACATTGCTCTCCTAACCTGGAACGCGAGGGGGAATTTGCAGCTGAGGAAATCAAAAATTACTGAACCTTCACCTCAAAAACAGCGTGGAGCACCAGGATGAAGATCTCCCCTGGGGAAAGTGGCCCTCAGCAAAGCTCCTCACTCACCAGTGATTGGTTTGAGACACATTTGAACCGAGGTGTTTGGTACAGCAGGTCCTTGAGGAAGGGAGGTGGCAGGAAAAAAGAGATTTGGGATCCAAAAATAAAAAAAAATCCAGCTGGATTTGGGTTCCAAAAGCAACCCCAGACACATCCCTTCTACTGCAGCTAGAGGAGGTGAGGAATCAGTGCCTAAAACCATTTTCCAGTCCAGCAAAGCAGCTTCAGGCTCCTCACAGCCACCAAACTCTGCTCTCCAAGCCAAGCCCACACCTCCCAGCTGTCCTTGCACATCATCACCTCGAATTTGGGTCAAGACAGGGGGGAAACAAACCCAAAACCAACTGAAAGCAAACCTTTCACCTCAAGAATTAGCCACGGGAGGGTTGGGTGAGCAATTCCCTGCACCTGAGTCCAGGTGAGGTGAGGAACCTCCAGGTGGAAGCTCCCAGCACAAACCTTCAGGAGCTGCAGCTGTTCTAGAGAAGAGATTCTGAATCCTTTGTTGCTCAGGCTGAAACTCACAGATTCAACAACAATTAAAACAAAAAAAAAAGTTCATTTCTAAGCAGAATTTGTAGAATTTTCCTTTTTTTTTTTTTTTTTTTTTTAAAATCTCACATTTTTGGCTTGGAAGTGTGTCTTGTTTTTTTTTTTTTTTTTTTTTTTTTGTTTTGTTTTGTTTTTTCTTTTCCCCAGTACTTCATCAGAGCAGGGAAAATTTTAGAAGTGCAATACTAGGAGAGCTCCTGGCCAGGCTGCTCAGTGTTCATGTTGACAATTGATTTTGTCTTCAGAATGCTCCAAAAAATCCAGCATTTCCTCTATGATGGCCTGCAGGGCCCGGCCCAGCTGTTCTGCAGAGTAAGGTTTTCCCAGAGGAGGCACGTGGACAAATGCTGACCTCCCACGGCTCTGGTACAAGGAGGTGTAGTAGGTGAAGTCACAGAGGTACCTGCAACACAAAACCAGAGATTATTCAGAAAAAAAAAAGGGATAAAAGCAGATAAAACCAGCTAAAACCAGCTGTAGGTCCCCATCGTTCAGCATGCTGGGATTTAGGGGGATGTGAGGCAGGAATTGTGAGTCTGGGATTGGTTTAATTAAATTTAGGACCAAAAAAATGTAAGGATTTCTCTTTATTTTCCCCCCCGATCACTAAAAACCAGGTGGTACTGCCATGGGAAGTGAAAGGTGTGGGAGGCTTCAGTGCCACGTGGATGTGGCACTTTGGGGACATTTGGTGGCGTTGGCAGTGCTGGGGAATGGTTGGACTTGAGGAGCTGAGAGGGCTCCTCCAGCCTCAGTGCTCCCATGGATTGCAGGGGAACAGGAGTGACACGGGCACAGCAGGCTGTGCTGTCCCTGGAAGTGTCCCCAGGATGGCCTGGATGGGGCTGGCAGCAGCCTGGCACAGCGGGAGGTGTCCCTGGGGTGGGATGGGACATTGGGATGGGATTTCAGGCCCTTCCAAGAACCCTGGGAGTCCCTGATCCCATGGAGGAGGTGACAAGATGGTGTTAACCAGGGCTTCCAGTCCCTGAGGGATCCAGGAGAGCTGGAGAGGGACAGGGGACAAGGGATGGAGGGACAGGACACAGGGAGTGGCTCCCACTGCCAGAGGGCAGGGATGGGTGGGATGTTGGGAATTAGGGATTGTTCCTGTGGGGATTTAAGGCCAGGCTGGAGGAGGGAAGCTCCAGGGAGACCTTGGAGCCTCTTCCAGAGCCTAAAGGGGCTCCAGGAGAGCTGGAGAGGGATTTGGGACAAGGACTGGAATCCCAACACAGGGAATGGCTTCAAAGTGGAAAGGGGAATCTGGGTGGGATATTGGGAAGGAATTCCTGGCTGTGAGGGAGGGGAGGAGCTGGGATGGAATTCCCAGAGCAGCTGTGGCTGCCCCTGGATCCCTGGAACTGCCCTGGCCAGGCTGAACACGGGGGCTTGAAGCACCTGGCACACAACCACAAAACTTCCATGTGCCTTCCAAGGCAAGGCACTGCAGGATTCCCTGACCCCCAGTGTCACCGTGATATTCCATGAAAAATCCTTTGCTAGGATTTCTTCCCTCCTGGGAAGCTGAGGAGCCTCAAAAAAGAAATGTAAACAACAACTCTCTGCTGCTGTGGAATGCACCAGGTGCAGCTGGGTGGTTGTTTCTAATTAATGGCCAATCACAGATGCAGTTGCATTGGATTTTTGGGGAGTCAGAAGCCTTTGTTGTCATTCCATTCCTGTTCTTTCTAGCCTTCTGATGAATCCTTTTCTCTCTATTCTTCTAGTATAATGTATCATTTTAATATAATATATATCACAATATAATAAACCAGCCTTCTGAAACACAGAGCCAAGATTCTCATCTCTCCACTCGCCCCGGGAGCACCCCACAAAGCACCCAGCACAAAGCACCCAGCACAAAGCACCCAGCACACCCCACAAAGCACCCAGCACACAGCACCCAGCACACAGCACCCAGCACAAAGCACCCAGCACAAAGCACCCAGCACAAAGCACCCAGCACAAAGCACCCAGCACAAAGCACCCAGCACAAAGCACCCAGCACAAAGCACCCAGCACAAAGCACCCAGCACAAAGCACCCAGCACAGCCCAGGGCTCAGCCCCTACCTGCCAGCATCCTTGGAGATGGTGACAGTGACGTCCAGCCCCAGCGCCGAGACCCTCCTGCACACAGCGTCCATGTCGATGATGGAGTCGATGCACTCGGGGCCTCCCTCCACGCAGCACTGAGAGCCCGGGCAGAAGCGACAGTTGTCCAGCCCCTTGTAGCCCACGTTGTGGCCACACTTCTCCAGGGTGACAGTGGTGGCCATGCCCGACACTCCCACGTGGACCACCAGCTGCAGGGGGGAAAGGGATGGGTTGTGTGGGATGCTGATCCTCGTGGGATCCTCTGGGAACCCACTGGGAATATTGCTCTGTCTGCCCTGGGGTGCCCTGACCCCCCAGGGGAGCTCTGACCCTGACCCTCATTCATGGAGAAAGTTTTCCTAGGCTTCAAGATAGGCCAGAATCCACAAAATTGTGAAATCGCAGTCGTGATATTTTGTGAAAAATCCCTTGCTAAGATTTTTCTCTTATTCTAGGTGAGAAGCCTCAGGAAAGAAATGTAAACAATAATTATCTGCTGCTGTGGAATGCAACAGGTACATCTGTGATTGGGGCATGGTGGTTGTTTCTAATTAATGGCCAATCACAGTCAGCTGGCTCAGACTCTCTGAGAGTCACCAGTTTTGTTATCATTCCATTCCTGTTCTTTCTAGCCTTATGATGATTTTTTTCTATTTTTTTAGTATAGTTTTAATATAACATTTTAATATATCACAATATAATAAATCAGCCTTCTGAAACATGGAGTCAAGATTCCTGTCTCCTCACACCAAGCATCAACCATATGAAATAGATTATAGAGAGTGGTGTAGGTGGATCACTTGGTGAGAAATTTAGGTTTTGGGGTTTTTAGTATGTTGTGGATGGGAGGAAGATGGAGGGCACAGGGTGTTGTCCTGGGTTCCTTCTTCATGCTTCTTCTTCCTCCTTCTTCATGGGTTTGAGTGGCATTTTGTAAGTGGGCAGAAAAGTCCACACTGGGGGCCCTTTGGGATCAGTTATTGGGTTAAAAGGGAAAATAATCCAGGTGTCAGCTCTTAATTGGAAAGTTTAGTCTTAAAAGACCTTGTGACAAGAGATTGTTGGCCATTTTGTGTGTTCTAATGAAGAGCTGCTGAACTCATGGTCGTGAGACTGTTTCACTGATTAAGAAATAATAAACCTTTGAGTCCAAACACAAAATAATGTCTCAAGTGCCTTCAATCCAGACCCAGAGAAACCAACAAGAGGGACCCCCACAGGATCCTCCCAAGTGGGGACAGCTCTGATATCCACATATTTCCCTTATCCAAACTCCCAGTCCAGCTTTCCTGGAGCCACCCTGGGGACTGGAAGCCTGGTGACATCTCAACACCACCTTGTCACCGTGCTGGAACCACGGAATCCTCTGGGGTTAGGTTCTGCACGTGGCACTCAGTCCAAGGCTGGACTTGATTTTTGGCCATTTTCCAGCCTGACTGATCCTGTGGTATGATTTTTTAAGGTCCTCCCCACCCCAAGCCACTCTGGGATTCCAAGGTTCCACCCCCAGGGAGGAGTTACAGGTGCCAGAGGAACGAGGTGTTTTCATCATGGGTTCAGCACAGCACCATTGCCATTTCACCCCCTCCTGACCTGAATTGTGATTTCATCAGGGTAAAAAGGAGCCTTGGCACCTCCAGAGCTGCTGGAGGAGCCCAGGTGGCACAGACAAACCACGAGCTGTCTAGACAGCCCTTGGCAGTGGCCCCTTCACACCCACTGCTCCTGGGAACTGGAGCACTCCGAGCTGTAAAACCCCACAAATTCCCATTTTCTCACCACAAAAGAGGAAAAGATCCAGCCAGGCTGAGGGAATACATGAAAAAGGAGACTTCACATGGTGCCCACTGCAGGTTTTGCCGGGTGGCTTTTTGATCCTCCCTTTACTCACTCACTTGGGGACTGTGCTTCTTCCACAAGGCAGGAATGAGTCTCTGCACGGTCTGGTACTCAACAGGGACCTCATAGACATGCAGATCCACGTCATCCCTCAGCCCCAGCTTCTCCAGCTCCTAAAAAAAACACCAGCAAAGCAAAACCAAGATGGTCAGACACGACACGAGCAGAGGATTTACTCCTGGAAGGTTTAATGGCAGTTTACAGCAGGTTGTGTAACCTCATAAACTGCACCTGCAGTGAGTTTACAGCAGCATAAAAAAAAAAAAACAAACCCCAAACCCCATAATGGCAACAACAAAGGCATCTCTCCACCTGTGTGAAGAGCTTCACCCACAGAACCGTTTGTGTGGCTCTGATGTGTGTGTGACAAAGAAATCAACATTTAACTGACAATAGTTATCAGCAACACCCACGCTCCCAGGGAAATCTTGGCTCTGTTATTTATAGAGGGAGACAGTCACAATCCCTGCTTCTTCCAAGGAGTGTGGAGAAGGTGGGACTGGAAGGATTTTATCCATCACCTAGGGTTGCTGGCCTGGAGAGTGATTTCACATTTATTTCCAGATAAAGAGCTCTCAGGGCTGGGTCACAGCACTGGTGATTCAACTAACCCTGTAAATTATTTCTCCCTCTCTGACATGAAAACATCCCAAATATCCTGGCAATAAACGGAGCCAATTTCCTTCAAACCTTTTAAAACACAAAGTGGCAGTTAAATACCTTGCAAAGACTTTAAAACCAGAGGAAAGGGGTTTTTTTCTCCACAGTAATTCTGACTGGAAAGCACTGTTTGATCCCAAAACTGGGAGTTCCCCCTACACACAGGTTCTCCCTTCTCTCCAGTCCCACCAGTTGGAACTTTGGGACCTCTCAATCCCAAACTTCCCAGAACTCAAGGAAACACCCACAAGGTCTGAAGCCTCTGGGAAAAAAAAGGGTTTTTATAAAAACCATCAGCTGAGCCTGAACCTTGGGGCCAGGTAACATTTTCCAGTGGGAGAAGAGACCTTGGCCATCATGTGTAAGGAATTCCTGCAGCATCCAACCTGGACCAAGCTTTCCCCTGGTCAGCAAATGTCCAAAATTGCTGTTCTTATGGAACTGAGGTAGGAACAGGTGAAAGCCATCAAACTATCAAAGGACATTTCCAAATATTCCTGAATTTATCTCCGTTCCAGGTTTGGATTCGGTGTCCAGAGCCACGAGCTGCTCTTTGAAGCAATTCTCAGGTTTTATTTTCCTCCTTGCAGATCAGCTGTTTTCACTCTCCAACCTTGTATTCCCCCAGGTTAAAAATTAAAAATTAAAGACACTTGAAAGGAGAAGACAAGTTGAGGTTTGAGGCCTCCCCCACTTCAACGTGAGCAGTGTCTTGCCATCGTTTTTTCTGTGTTTTCATCAGCATGAGTGGTTTTCCACTGAGGAAAAAAACCACCTTTCACACTTGTACAGCCAAACCACAGGGATGTAACAAGATTTAGGATAGCTAAAACACCCAGAAAGGCCAAAGTGACACTCTGACAGAGCAGCAGATATGAGCAACGATGATAAATCACAGGCTCTGGCTCCCAGGGCAAGGCTGATATTAAAGCCTTGTGTATTGATTAGTGTCTGGCACACTCAGACACTCATTAGCACAGAAGGAGGGAAGGGATGGTTCATCACAGCTCCTCTGCACAAATCTGCCTCCAAAACCTTACCTGGAGCCTCAGTGAGGGAGAGTTTACTGAGGAGAGGATTCCAGCACCAGTCAGCCTCTTCAGGAGGAGAGGAAACACTTTTTAGGAGTGTTAATGCTAATGAGAAGTGATGCTCCTGAAGGTGAAGGGTTGGGAAGGGAAGAGCTCCTGGGGATGGATTTGATGGTGGGGAAGGAAGGAAAGAGCTCCTGGGGATGGATTTGATGGTGGGGAAGGAAGGAAACAGCTCCTGGGGATGGATTTGATGGTTGGGATGGAAGGAAACAGCTCCTGGGGATGGATTTGATGGTGACAAGTTTTGCTGGACGAAAAGAGAATCCTCCAGCCACTTAAACCTTAACTTTACCAAGCCACAACTTTTCCTTTAACCAAGCCCAGCGCTCCATAATGAAGATGTTTGTAACCTTCCCCCCCCTTCCCTGAACAACCTCTCCCCCCCAGCCCTGTCCACCTGACAACCAGAGCACACAGAACATGTGTGACCGATTCCCTGACCCCTCCACAATGCTGCTCTTTGTCAGCCTCTAATATCCTTATCAGGTCTGTCTAGACACCCTGACAGCAATTGTCCTTCCTAATGTCAAAATGCACTCTGACCTCTCTCCTCCTCCTCCTCCTCCTCCACAGCCAGAAGCACTTTGGGGGGGATGAAGGAGCCCAGCAGCTTCACAGTCCACAGGTCACACCTGTGTCCACACCTAAGTCACAGCAGGGAGGGCAGAAAACGAGATGAGAAAAGCTCATTTTAGTGACTTTTTCTTGGAAGTCCCTCCCTAGAAAAAGTTGCACCCGTGGGGGAAAAAAAAAAAAAAATCCTGAACTGAAAGATTAAAATGATGAAAACACAAAACCTAAATTAACACGGAGTGGTTTTGATGTGAGCCTTAAAATAAAGCAGAAAGGAGTTTTTCTTCCTGCTGATTTTATAGGAAAGCTCTCCCCCGTGAGTAAAAACCCAAATATTTCACTGGGTTTTGGGTTTTTTTTGGGGTGAAATTTTGAAACTTTTAATTTGGGCAGCATTATTAGATTGCTGCTGCCGCTATTTAAGGTAGCCATGTGTAAAAATCAGTCAGCTTGCAAAACCAGACAGAAATTCACTGCACTTCCAGGGAAAACTCCCACCGTGTCCGTGTTCTGTGGGAGAACCCAAATAAAACCAGGGGGAGTGAAAGGAGAAAAAAAAGAAAAAAGAGAATTTTATCCTCGGGATGCAGCACAATAAAAGATGTAATAAACCAGAACTAGCCGAGCCCTAGAGCTAGGAAGGATTTAGAAAGATTGTTTAATTGATTTTTCTTCTATTAAAATGCAGATCACACCGTCTGGGATTCGGGAACTCAGACACGCCTTTGTGTCCACCCCGCTCCGTGAAGTCCCCGTCTGAAACTCGCACAATGCCCACCTCGGCCGGGCTCAAAGACATGCTGTTCCTTTTTTGTCTGGGCCTCTGGGGGCTGAGACGGGGCAAGGAAAGGCAAATCCTCCCCGCTGCCTCCGAGCTGATGTTTTCACTCGCAATAATCCGGACCCGGAGCCTCCAGCGCGGCTCCGGTTTGTACTCAAAACGTCCCCAGATCTGAGTTTAGTCACCCAAAACATCCCAAATTCTGAGTTTAGTTACCCAAAACATCCCCAGATCTGAGTTTAGTTACCCAAAACATCCCAAATTCTGAGTTTAGTCACCCAAAACATCCCAAATTCTGAGTTTAGCCACTCAAAACGTCCCAAATTCTGAGTTTAGCCACTCAAAACGTCCCCAGATCTGAGTTTAGCCACCAAAACATCCCAAATTCTGAGTTTAGTCACCCAAAACATCCCAAATTCTGAGTTTAGCCACTCAAAACGTCCCAAATTCTGAGTTTAGCCACTCAAAACATCCCCAATCCACTCAAAACACTCGAATTCTGAGTTTAGCCACTCAAAACGTCCCCAGATTTGACTTTCGTCACTCAAAACATCCCCAAATTTGAGTTTAGTCACTCAAAACATCCCAAATTCTGAGTTTAGCCTCTCAAAACATCCCCAGATTTGAGTTTAGCCACTCAAAACATCCCCAAATTTGAGTTTAGTCACTCAAAACATCCCCAGTTCACTCAAAACATCCCCAATTCTGAGTTTAGTCGCTCAAAACATCCCCAAATTCTGAGCTTTAGCCACTCCAAACATCCTCAGTTCACTCAAAACATCCCCAATTCTGAGTTTAGTCGCTCAAAACATCCCCAGATCTGAGTTTAGTCACCCAAAACATCCCAAATCCACTCAAAACATCCCCAAATTTGAGTTTAGTCACTCAAAACATCCCCAATTCTGAGTTTATCCACCCAAAACACCTCAAACTCTTGAGTTTTGTCATCCCCCAAGCCCCTAAAAATGGATTTTAAATGGAGAGGATGACTTCATCCATCAGCCACACAGCTGAGCAGTCACCAGTGCCTCGAGCTGTTTCTCTTTAGGTTTGTTTATTTTTTTTTCAAGCAACATCTCAACACCCACCACTCCTCCTGCTCCAAAAACACCCTTTTGTCTGTCTCCTCTAAAATAAAAGCAGCTATTTACAACAGCTGACACTACACCAGCAAGAACAAACCAAATCACTGAGCCTCACTTCTGATTTTTAGGAATGTCCTATATTATTTTTTTTTCCACCATCCACAACCTGCATTTTCCTCCAAACTGACCCAAACTTAAAAATATTCCCAAAAAGCTCTTGGAGGCAAAGGTTTTGTCTTCTCCTAGCAGCCAACACATCAGGCAGCTGGACATTAGTTGGCTGTAATTGATTAGAGTTTGTGATTTAATTTAAAAGCATTTGAAAGAAGATATTAATCTCAGAGCTCTGAAGGGGAGAGAGACGTGGTGGGGAGAAAAATAGATTTAAATTCCCTGGGCAACTGTGCTAAAAGGTACCATGGAATTCCCAGGAGCTTTGCCACAAACCCCATCCAGAAGTGACAAAGAAGGAAGAAGTGGGATAATGTGGCAGCACCATCCCTGTAAAAAGTGTTTTTATAGCAAAAAAAAAACTTTAATTCCATTGAAAATAGCTTAATTCCCTCTTTTTGCCTCATTTGTGGGATGTCAGCCTCACTCAGATGAGCTCCTGGGCACGGGGTGGGGTTTTTGGGGTGTCCTGTGCATGGCCAGGACTTGGATTGGATGATTTCCTCCCAGGATATTCCAGAATTTTAGGGATGTGCCCATGCAGATACAGAGCTACAAGTGGCATAAAGCTGATTTTCCTGAGCAGGCAGGAAAAGCATTTCCCCAGAAACTCTCCCAAGCAGAGAAGGGGGGATCCAGGGGGGAGAAAAGAGGCAGCTCTGGCAATCAGACTCCTGCCACTCACACAACTCCACAAAACCTCCAGCTGGGAGCCTCCTCTCAGGGATGAGGTTCAGTTTAAAGGTGAACCAACTGGCCCAGCTCCGAGCCAGAACTGAGAGAAAAACATCCAGATTCCTCTGGGTTGGTCAGCTGGTTTGTTTGTTTGGAATTCCCCAGGGCAGAGGAAGATTCCAAGCTCCCTGCCCCATTTAAAAGCATCCAAAGCTGGGAATTCCTTACTTGCCTCAGCTACATTAACTCAATCTCATTAAACTCCACCAGCTAAGGGATTGTTTTCTGAGCAGGGAATCAAACATTATCCAGCTGACCATCTGGATATCTGCAGAGGAGCTCCAGAAGAAGCTGTAAGTGATAAAAAGAGCTGAAAGCCCAATTTTGTAGGGATTTGTCCTCGATTTTGACACCTCCTAAGAGGAAAATTCAGGGGTTACCTGAACTGCAATCCAGCTGGCGTTCACAGCGTGTTCTCCAAACGGCCCAAACCCTGCAAGAGAAGAAAAATTCACAGATTTGACTCAGCTTGAAGTTGCAAAGAGGTTTGAGCTTTCCTGGGAAGAAAAAAAAACCCTCCACTTCTACCTCTCAATCCTTATTTCCTTACACCTGAGTGTCAAACAAGACACCTGCACTGAAATATTTCAACTCCAGCCTTGTACAGCGAAGGAAAACAATAACTTGCTTGAAAAGAAATTTGGTTTTTTCTTGGGGAGAAGAATTTTCCTTCCTGCCCAGGTTAGAAAAATTCATTATTACCAGCTAACTTGTCACAGAATTAGAATCATGATTGGATTTTCTATTCCTGATTGCTTCAGCCCACAGCAGATGCTTCCACAAGCCTGCCTCAAATGTTCCCTTCTCCACTCAGGGTCTTCTCCAAGATCTTCGTTAGCATTAATTACACCTCCCAAGGAAATAAACAGAGCTGTTGACAACCCACCCACAGCACAGCAAAGGCTACCAAGGCGTTATCAAAAACACTTCCTTCAGCACCTCTAAATTCCTAATGAATAACTTTGGAGTTAACTGGTAATCCATAACATCTTTTTTGTTGTTGTTGTTGGTGGTTTTTATTTTTTTTTTCCCCTGAGCAAGCACACAAAGGTTGGGCAATTTATCTGGGCGTAACGTCGATATGCTTTAATTTAAAATGTCAGCCTTGCCCTCCGAGCCTCGTGCAATTAGGAGCCATAAATTCTGCCCAGCCCCTGAAAGGATCCGAGAGGGACCACAAATATCAGATGACACCTTAATGGAAATGTGGGATTTGCCCTCCTCCCCAGGCAGGCTGAGGTGATGCTGCTCAGGAGGAATTTCCCAAGCGTGGGCTCGTCCACGCCCGTGGATCTCAACCCGGCGTTGCCGGCTCGCCAAAATAAATATTCCCCACAAAATCCAAAATGTTGGGGGTGTTTTCCTGTGAGCAGAACTGCAGGGGTGTGAGACAAACTATGACAGGGGAAGGAGGCAAATTAATGCCTTCCCAGCTGTTTCTGCAAGTCCCACACGGCTCTCGGGAAGCAAACACTGAGACCTGCTAAGCTGAATTCCTAAATACAGCGTGACAATCCTATAAAAGAAACGAAATCCATTATTTTAACGACTCAGCCACGGAAAGGCTGAAATCCTACAGGTGCCCAGGCACAGGGCAGGATTCCCTTGCTCCAAATTCCAAATGCAAGCGGCACAAACACAGCTGGGGTTATCGCTGCTCTGACTCATCTGCCCGGATCCCTCGTGTTATCCCTGGCTGGGAACAGAAGGAACTTTGTGGGCAGCACCCGACCCCACGGAGCACATCCACCACGGGGCCCTCCAAGGCTCATTAGCAGCAAAACCAGCTGCAGGGGATGGCGACGGGATTATCTCCTTAACGAGTTCTAAAAAAGAAATTGTGCACAAATAACGCTTATCCTCGGCCAGCTCAGGCTGGGAACCCACTGGGAACACGACACCGGCCCCGAACGGAATTCCGCGTGACATCCACGGCGTTATCAAACAGGGGCAGAGCTGACAAGGCAACCGCTGCATTTTGCAACCAGGCTTCCCTGAAAATTTAAAAAAAAAGGGGGGGGATAAAAAAAAAAAAGAGCGTGGAGGAGCCTCGCGAGCAGCAGAACGTCTCCTGACGCAAGTTTTCTGTTTAGTCACCGCCGCTCCACGCTGGATTTGGGGTTGGGAGAGGCAGGATTTGCCACCTGCTCCTCGGCTCCCCACAAGCACTCCCTGGAAAAAGGCACTTTTTGCCCGTGATTACGGCCGCTCTGCTATTCAAACAGCCTCAACTTCAGCTGCCGGGGGGAGACCTGAATAGTTCGGGCGAGTTCCCCATTTGTCACAGGACGGCCTCACCCACAAATCACCCCGAGCCGCCTTTGTACCCCGGGAGGAGGCTGACAACGCCGGGGCCTCCGGCTGCCTCCGCTCTTTCTTCCCCCCGGCGCTTCTGCCGCGCCTCGGGGGAGCTTTGGGGAGCAGCCCCCCACACCTTGGGGGCTCAGGGTGGGGTGGTCTGGGGCGATTCCCCCCTCTCCCTGCACCCCGAATTGGTTTTCCTGCTCTTTGGGAGGCTGGATTCCCTTCTTTTGGCGAAGAGCAAAGCTCTGGGATGGGGTCACACATGGGAAAAAGGGAACCCTGGCTGGATAAGGGTTAGGAAAGCTCCTCACCTCTGTACCCCTCCCCAGCTGTGACACCCCTGACCCAAAGCCCCCCAGACTCTGCCCTGCGCCCCATTTATCAGCCCACACAGGGGACAGCCCCCCAAAACAGCCCCCGGAGGGGACAGCCCCCCAAAACAGCCCCCCGAGGGGACAGTCCCCGCTCCCCATTCCCTCTGTCCCCCCCTGACGGGACAGCAGACCCTCCCCTCTCACCTCAGGGAAGGGGTCCCCCACTTATCCCCCCACAATCTCAGGGAAGAAGTCCCCAACTACCCGCCCCGCGCCGCTCGCCCCGCCCCGCGCCGCCCGGACCCGCCGCTTCCGCCGCCGCGGCGGAAGTCCCGCGTTGGGACGGCCTTGGAGCCCTTCACCCGTTACCGATCACCGGGATTCTCCGTGTGCGGCGCAGCCCGAAGGGCTCCCGCTCGCCCGCCTCAGCGCGGGATTCCGGGGGGGTTGATTAAACAAAACGCTCACCTTGAGGCTCGCGGGGGTTCCCCGCTTGGTTGTGGGGGAGCACGAAGCGCGGCCGCGGTACCGGGAGGTCCGGAGCGCGTCTCGTCCGGTCCCGGCGCGTCCCGTCCCGGGCGGTGCCGCCGCAAAGGCGCGGACCGGGCGGCGCGGCGCGGCCCGGCCGCCATCCGCGCTCTGATTGGCTGCTGCGGGACCGCGCCGCGCTCTGATTGGCTGCGGCGGGACCGCGCCGCGTTCTGATTGGCCCCGCGCGGAGCCGGGGGCGGTTTGAGCGGCAGCGCCCGGCGCGGCGGCGGCTCCCGGTCCGGCACGATGGTGAGCGGCGGCGGATGGAACGGGGAACCGGGAACGGGGAACGGGGCTCGGGAGGGGGCTGGAGCGGAGGGGAGCGCCTGGCTCGTGTCTTCCCCCTCGCCAGGGATGGCGTGCCCGGTGCCCCGCTCGGTGCGCGGGTCGGTGCCCCGGCCGGTGCCCCGTTGTCGGTCGGTGCCTGAGGCCTTTCTCCTCTCTTCCCCTCGCAGCTGCCCCTGTCGTTGCTGAAGACGGCGCAGAACCACCCCATGGTGAGTACCGGCCGCGCGGCCCAGCCCCGCTCCCCTCGCCGGTGGCGTGCCGGTGACACCGGGCACATCCCGGTACCGGCGCCCAGTGACCGCTGTTCTCTCGCAGCTGGTGGAGCTGAAGAACGGGGAGACGTACAACGGGCACCTGGTGAGCTGCGACAACTGGATGAACATCAACCTGCGGGAGGTTATCTGCACGTCGCGGGTAAGGCTGGAGCACCGGTACCGGTACCGGGCAGGGGTCACCCCCGGCGGGGTCGGCGGGGAGCAGCCGGGAGCAGACAGCGCTGTCAGCCCAGAATCTGTCCCCAGAGGTTCCCCGGCTCTGTCCCCGCAGCCAGGCTGTAATTCACATCGCTCCTATGGAGGAGTCGCCTCTGCCTGAAATGCAGATTTAATGTAATTATTAATAATGTCCGTTTAATTATTGATAATGCCCATAATGAAGGAGCAGCCTTGTGTAGGTGTCCCCTTTCTGCACACCGCAGGATGAGGGGCTGGGGTCCCTCATCCCCCTGGGTGAGGAGTAGGGGGCCACGTGCTGTGATGCTGATCCAGGTTTCCCAAAATCCAGAGCCTTTACCTGTCCCAGGCAGCCTCAAACACCACAATTTCTTTTATTTCATCCAGTCTCTTTCATCCCCTCTCCTCTCCACGTCCAGCTGAGCTCACCCACAGAGGTGAGAGGGACTTTTGGAAGGTCTGGGGCCTTTGCCCTTGGCCAGAGTTGCTGCAGGAGATTGGGATCTGTGTTTTGTGCTTCGGCCTCCATCAGAAGTGTCCGGTCTCATCCCCGTGGGAGGCACAGATGTGTGGAATTCCAGCTGTTGTTGTGCTTTCCCAGCCCTGGAATGCCAGAGCTCCACGGGAGAGGCTGCCAGGGATCCTTGTCCTTCCAAAAATCCCCCTGCAAACCCCCCAGTTCCCGCTGTCCCCACGACAGGAGTGTGGAGTGGTGTTGCTGGTGTGACAGGGGAGACACCCTGAGTGAGGTTTGCAGGGAATTTTGGGGTGGAATTTTGGAATTTGTGGCTGGGTCTTGGGTCACGGTGGGAACCGCTGTTGAGCAAAGCCTTACCGTGCCCAGGACACAGGTGATGATTCCCTTCTCCTTGGAAATTTGCTTCCAAAGGCTCAGTGCTCTGCCTGGGAAGAGCAGCAGCTCAGGTTTTGTGGGGAGGGATCACCCAGAAGGATGTGAAGATGCTGGAATGAGTCCAAGATGATCAGAGGGATGGAGCAGCTCTCCTGTGGGGAAAGGCTGGGGAATTGGGGTTGTTCAACCTGGAGAGGAGAAGCTTTGGGGTCACCTGATTGTGGCCTTGCCGTGCCTGAAGGTGCTGACAAAAACACGGGGAGAAACTTTGGATAAGGGATGGAAAGACAGGACACAGGGGGAGGGCAGGGTTCGGTGGGATTTCGGGAAGGAATTCCTCCCTGTGAAGGCGGCGAGGGTTTGGGATGAAATTCCCAGGGCAGCTGTGGCTGCCCCATGCCTGGAGCGTCCAAGGCCAGGTTGGAGCCACCCGAGACAGCGGAAGGTGTGGAGCTGGGACAATCCTTTAGTCCCAAACCATTCCATGATTCCACGATTCTATGACCCAGCACGCGGCAGAGCGGCCTCAGCTGCCTCCAAACCCCGGGTGAAGATGGAATCTGGTGGCACTGGTGGCACTGGTGGCACTGGCCGCTAGATGGCACGGGACAACGAGCCGGCAGCCTCTTGTTTACCCGGGGGAGGCCGGAACGAGGAAGGAGCCTGGAGCTCCATCCCTTCCTGCATCCCGAGCCAAGGAGCAGCCAGGCACATCCCAGGCAGGGTGGGGTTCGCCGGCTGTCTCTGGGAATTGTTGCTCCTCTGCCTCCTCCTGGGCTTGCCCGTGCAGGCTGGAGCTGCCCTAAATAACGAGAGCCGTGCATCCCCAGAGAGCAGGAGCGGGGCGTGCTGCTTTCCCCTCCTCTCCCGGGACGCGGCAGGCGCCTGCTCCACATGGGGATGGCTGGGTTGGAGCCATCCCAGCTGCAGGCTGGCCCTGCTGGAGCCGGGGCCAGGCGGTTCCCAGTCCCTCCTCCCAGTTACATCACGGCCAGGGAGTTGTTGTTCAGCTCTGGGTTCTTATTCCCTGCTGGGCTGAGCCCTAGGGTATCCGTGGTATCCCCTGGAAAAATCCTGGAAGCGAGGCAGGGAGGTGGCTGCTCCAAAACTGAGCACCTGAAGGTTTCTAATTTTTATTTTTTTTAAAAGATAAATATATCAATTGTGAGTTCCTTCTTTCCCTCAGCTGCTCACGTCCCACAGCCAGCTGGCTCCAGAGCTGCCTCGCTGCTCCTTCCACACCCCAGAGGAGTGAAGGAGTGGGGTGACTCCCAGCTGGAGAAGAATCCTGGCCACAGCTGCGGTTTTTTTGGCCAGAATTGGTTGTTCACCACCATTTTAACTCGTGCCTCTGCTCCCACTTTCAATTCCCTTCTCTTTGTTTCCTCGCCCTCTTCTTCTGACGTTTTCTGCCGCTGCTTGAGGCAGCTGTGGAACAAACTGAAAATGCAGTTGTTTGTGGGGCTCTGTGTTTTTGGGGAGTTAAACCCCCCCATTTTCCACAGCTGGTTACCGGTAATGCTCCCAGCAAACACTGCTGGAGCTCTCCCCTTCTCCAGAAACGCTCAAAATCCATAAAAGTGACCCAAAAGCAGCAGGTTTTGCTCGTGGCCTCATGTGCTGCTCCCCGACAGGACAGGGACAAATTCAAAATCCTTAAAAGTGCCCCAAAAGCAGCAGGTTTTGCTCGTGGCCTCACGTGTTGCTCCCCAGCAGGACAAGGACAAATTCAAAATCCCAAAAGTGACCCAAAAGCAGCAGGTTTTGCTCTTGATCTGACGTGTTGCTCCCTAACAGGACAGGGTCAAGTTCAAAATCCCAAAACTGTCCCAAAAGTGCCCCAAAAGCAGCAGGTTTTGCTCGTGGCCTCAGGTGCTGCTCCCCAACAGAACAGGGACAAACTCAAAATCCCTAAAAGTGCCCCAAAAGCAGCAGTTTTTGCTCGTGGCCTGACATGTTGCTCCCCAACAGGACGGGGACAAGTTCTGGAGGATGCCAGAGTGCTACATCCGTGGCAGCACCATCAAATACCTGCGGATCCCTGACGAGATCATTGACATGGTGAAGGAGGAGGTGGTGTCCAAGGGCAGAGGCCGTGGTGGGATGCAGCAGCAGAAGCAGCAGAAGGGCCGTGGGGTTGGAGGAGCTGGACGAGGTAAAAATCTGATTTTTTAAAATTTTTTTTTAAATTTTTTTTTTTCCTTCCCCAGCTTGAAGAGGGGAGAATGGGATCCCTGCCTTTAAAATTGACCCTTTTGAGCAAGGAGCAGCTCCTGGTGCTGTGTTTGAAAGCCAGGGCTGTGTCTGGGAGAAGCTGGAGCAGCTCCTGAGCAGGATCCAGTCGAGCGAGTGCGTAAGGCAGCCCCTGCCAAGGAACAGGGAGGATTCGTGCCAGGGATGGGCCTCCCTCGTTCCTGGGGCTGGGCAGGAGCTTAAGAGAGTCTGAACTTGACTGTTTCAGCTCCTCCTGGCTCGTTCAGGAGCGTGGCCCTGCAGAACTGTAGCTTAGCAAGGGCCAGGGGGAAAACAAAAGGCTGTTCTGGGTGAAAATAGTGAAAATAAACCCTTGGCAGTGAGGAAAAAAAAATCATCTTCTCCCCCTTTAAAATGGGGCTTTGGATTTCCTGATTTGTTAATGTACTTATATTAAAAAAAAAAAAAAAAAAGACAAAACTATGTGAGGGTTTGAGCTGCTCCTGGAAGATGAATAATTCATGTTTCTGATAAAGGGCAGGTTGCCACTTCAGAAGAAATAGGTCACCCAAACAGCCCTTCCCATTTCATGGGTTTAGGTGATCCCAGGGCACTTCAGCTGGGGGATGTGCTGCTCCTTTTCCCCAAATGATCCCCCTGGAAGCCTGGGAGCTGTTTCTTTGCTCTCCCCTAATGTCATGTTTTTGGGATTTGTGGTCACCCCACAAGCCCAGGGCTGCTCTCAGCCCAGGCTTCACCTGCAGTCAGAGCTTAAAAATCCCCAAATCCCGAGTTCAGCTTCAGGAGGAGCCCTGGGGATGGGCTCAGGGACGTGTGGAGCCTCTCTGGAGAGCTGTGCCAGGAATCCAGGTGGCATGGACCTGGGGCCATGGGGGTGATTCCCACCAGCTCCTCCTCCCCAAATCCCTGCTGCCCCTGGAAACCCCCAGCGACCTTCCCAAATCTGAAGGCGCCCTTTGTTTCTGTTCCCCTTTGCCTTGGCACGGCAGTTTTTTAGGATTTTTTTTGGGGGGGATAAACACCAAAACCTCGCTGTTTTTCCCTCGTGGGGAGCTCCAAGGTGGAGCTCCTGCTCTTTCCATCTGCAGCCTCAATTTGCTGATGGAATATTTTCAAGGGAAGCTTCGGCGTTTGCTAATTAGCTCAAAGGTTTGGCTCTCATTACCGAGACATGAAGGGAGGAGGGAAAGGGGAAAAAAAAAAAAAAAAAAAAATTAAGGCAGGACAATTTTGTTGGGAGGCCAACGGGCAGGAGGGAAGCTGTAATTGTGCTCCCAGTTGAAAGGATTATTGTTTCTGACACTCCTAATCCTCCTCCTTTGACTTCTTGCTTGCCAAAGTCAGACGTCCCCAGCCTTTGCTCCAGGAGGAGCATCCCAAGCACTGCAGGCTTGGGAATAATTTATGTTTTCCCTCTGGTTTGGGCACGTCCCCTCCTCTAGAGAAGCCAGGTGCTTGGATTGGCTCTCCTTTGGGCTCTGCCTTTTGTGCAGCAGGGTGGATCCACAGCCCTTTATCCCCAGGATGGGATTTTGGGGGTAAATCTGAGGGCTGGGCTCAGCAGCTCCTCTGGTTTTGGGGCTGAGGATGCTCATCTCACTGCAGCCCCCAAATAAATCTGTGCTCTCCTGTGCCCAGTGCCCTCTCCAGAGCCAAGGATTGCTCTGCCCAGCCTTTGGGTTGCCCTCACAGCTCTCAGGGGACACGTTACCACCTGGATTTTACATTTGTTGCTTCCCTGGATCCATTCTTTTTTTTTGGGGGGGGGAAGAAACTTCAGTTTACCACGAGATCAACGTTAATCATAAAATCGACACGCCAGGGAGGTTCTGCTGAACTTGCTGCTGAGGGGGGATGAGTTCATGCACCTCCTAAATAAAGGTCTGGGACTGGAAAAGGAGAAGTCTGAAAGTCACATTTCTGCTTCTAAGGCTCAAAAACAAACAAGTTTTTGGGGTGAAACACCAATAACTGAAGCTGTAAGGCTTTGCTGGCTTGCAGGGATGCTGTTACCTGTTCCTTTCTGCTCCACAGGTGTGTTTGGTGGCCGTGGCCGTGGAATTCCAGGCAGTGGAAGAGGCCAGCAGGAAAAAAAGCCAGGCAGGCAATCAGCCAAGCAGTGAGAGCCAGGGACACTTTGGGTTTTGTCACCTCAGGGCTGCCACGTGTCCAAAAACGTTCCCTTTCCTGCTCTTCCATCAGAACCAGAGCCCAAATCATGTTCCTTTGGAAGCCCCTCACGCTTTAGTCTGGTGGAGTTTTTGCTCCTTGTAGTCAGCAAATCATTGGAAATACTTTTTAAAAATTCGTTCATGGTTAAGGACCGAGGTTCTGCCTTCTCCTGAGAGTGAATTTTTCAGGCTTACCAGGTTTAATTTAAAATATTTTCCTGTTCAGAGGTACCAGTACGAAGGCAAACACTTTCTGGATTGCTTGGATTTTTTTTTTTTTTTTTAAATACTTGAAAGTTGGGAAACTTGTTTTGTTTGTAACAGATGTGTTTTGGTTTAAAAACACTGAACTTGAGGATGTTGTGTCTGTGTGTGAATAGTCCTAAAGGTTTGGGGGTTTTTTAAACCAACAAACTTTTAAGCTATTGCTTTTCTTCTCCTGGCCAGTGAGTTCTGTTTCTCCAGTGGCTTAAAGGAGGGATGAACACTGACCTTCAGGCCTTGTTGCCAAGAGAGCTTTGTGGCAAATGAGCGTTTCCCAATTAGTTCATTGCTAATTTGACTTCAGATTAGAAGTTTCCTTCAAAGGAACAGGGTTTTTTTCTGTGTTGGGTTGTTTGTTTTGTTGTTTTTTTGGGGTTTTTTTGCATGAGGCTGGTGCGCCCCTTCTTCCTCATGGGGGATTTAATTTTTTATTTTTAACACCAACTTGAGTTGATTTACATGGGTTTATTTCCTCCCCCTTGCTTTGAAAACTCTCTCCCTTCTGCTGTGACACCAAGTGCTGAACTCTGACAATATTTCCCGACCTAATTTCTTCCAGTAGCTGGTGATTGACCTCGCTGGCTGTACCTGTCACTTCCTCCCCCAGCCACCAATTATCTTCCCTTGGGGACACAGGCCAGCGTGTGAACGTGTCCCTCCTGTAGGTTCAGACAACTCCTGGGAATTCCCAGGGCAGGTTACTCCAGTCTTCCATCCCAAAATACACCCTCAGAATATCCTGGCTGAGCACACCGGGGGGAAGAAACAGCTCTGGGTGTGCCTCACCCCCCCTGGATGGATGAAACAGCTGAATTTTGGTGGGGGGGGAATTGATATTGTGGCTTGTTTTGAGCAGGTTTGGGGTTTGTACAACTGGTTCTCGTGTTGGAGGCTCTGCCATCGCCACTGTACTGAAAAGGAGTGAAGAACATGCTTTTATAGACTTATTTTTTTAATGTTTATAGAACTGGGCACAGTGGTGAGTGAGAATAAACCTCCAGCCTCTTCCAGCCTCCTCTCTCTGTGTGTCTGTGATGCTGCTGGGCCCTGCCCGACCCAGAACCCTTCCCTGAGCCCTGGAATCGGGGATAAATCCCAAAATACTCAATTTCCAGCACCAGCCACGTGCTCTCCGTGGAGCTGCTCCTTGTTGAGGCCATGCCCAGCACTCCGTGCTCATCCCAGGGAGCCAATTCCAGGGGATGGGGTGATGTGTCCTCCCTGCTGGAAAACTCCTGTGGCATTTTAACAAAGCCCAGGCTGTGTCAGACTTTCCCTTCCCAACCTGCTCCCTCCCTTCGGATCCCTCCAGCCACAGAGGCTCCGTGGAAAGGGAAACAGCTCCAGCCCTGCTGGGATTTAAGGTCTTTTCTGGCAGGAGAAATCCTGACTGCAACAATGGGACCTTTGGCTCCAGCTCGGGGTAGAGTCCTCCAAAGTGCTCCTTATCTCCTGGCCAAGCTCTGGGGTCAGCTGGTGGAGCTCGTTAAGTTCTGCATTTGGTTAATTACCCCACTTCAGGGCTTTAGCAGCATTCCCTGCTTGCTTCCCCTTTTTTTCCACCTCTGCAGGAATATTTTTGGGCCAAGGGCAGCTGGGTGGCAGATGGCTCTGTGGAAGGGCATTGATGTGACGCTCAGCTGTCACTTCGGCCTTTTCTGCCCCAAAAATGAACGTCTGGGGCTGTCACTGCCCCGTGGCAGCGCAGGGAGGCTAAAAAAAAAACCCAAAAAAAAATGAAACAAAACAGGGAGGAGCGAGATAAAAGCAACAAGCAGAGAGGAGGAAGAAAAGTCTGAGCCTGGCTGGGCGTGGGTGGGTGCAGAGCCGGGCAGGGCCAACGCGTCCCGCACGGAAAGACCCAGCAAAGGCCACCCTGGAAACCCTTCCCGGGATATTTTGGTGGCAGTGGAGCTGGTGGCAGCCAGGGTTCGTGTCTCTGACTGCCCCACGGTGACTCAGAGCTTCTGAGCCTCGCCGAGGAGGCAGCACAGGAATAGTTACACACCAGCGACGCGGAGGGAGTGGCTGCCGAAATATTTCAGGGCTGTGCTAAGCAACTAAAAATACACGTCAAACCCTCCTCCTCCTCCTTTTTCCTTTTCAAATCTGTTTTCTTTCTCTCTTTCTTTCTGGTTTTTTTTTTTTTTTTTATTCTTGTTTTTGATTGTCGGAGGCCCCTAGGGGTTCCTCGGGGACAGGGCAGGTTTGGGGACAGGCGCTGGCAGCTTGTGACTTCTTGTTTTCCCGGCTCGGTTCCTCTCTCCCTGCCTGTGGCAATGACTAAGAGGCAGCTTCCCCCTGCGTGCCCAGCGCCTGCCGTGCAAATCCCGGGGTGCAAACCCTGCTTGTTCCCTTTTCCAGGGGGGAGCTTGGCACGCGGATGCACCCCTGGCAGCCCACGGGCACCTTGTGTCCAGCCCGTGGTGTCAGCGTCCAGAGCTGCTGGCCGCGGCAGGATCAGGCACCTCTGGTGTCCTGGAGCTGGTGGCACGCAGGGAATGGTCCTGGTGGCACTGCTGGGGACAGCAGGAGCCGCGAGGATGCTCTGGTGGCCATGGCCTCGCTCGAGGCTCATCCCAAATCCTGCTCCCGGGTAAATCGAGCCCAGGTGGCAGGACGGTGACTCGGGGTGCTCGCCCGGGCTCTGGTGCCTCCAGGAACAGCAGCTTTGGCCACCCGGCCGTGGGGACGGTGGCACTGCCACCAGCTCCCTGCACGGGGACCTCCCCGCGGCTCTGCCCCCGCGGCAGGCGGAAGGGGTCACTGATTCACGCCCCTCATTAAGCGCTCATTAAGAAAATGAAGCTGCAGGCATTGGCTTCTTGGTTTGGGGACAGGGGACACGCGGGATGAGCAGCGGCGGTGGCAGGCTGGGGGGACACGGCAGGACGAGCCCCGGGGTGCCGCTGCCCTGGCGGGGTTGTGCCGGTGGGGACGAGCCCCCGGTGCCGGCCGGTTCCTCGGTGCAACCCCGAGAGCACCGCCAGCCAAAGCCGGTTCTGCTCGCCCCGGTTTCCGTGGGTGCCCCGGTACCCGCGGGTGGCCGTCCCCAAGGTGTGTCCCCGGCCTGGGGACCCCGAGCGGGGTTGGGACAGGGACAAGGGGAGGTTTTTTTTACCGCCCTGTCCCTCGCCCGCCGGGTTTGGCCGGGATGGAAAGTCTGAACCTGCCGGTCCGGCCGCGCCCCTAATGAGGGGTTTGGAACGGAAAGGCGGACGGCGGCTTCACCTGCGAGCCCCCGGGACACCGGGCCTGGCACCGCCACTGCTTTTTTTACTGGCTCGGGACAGCGGGGACAGCGGGGGACACGGAGCCGTGCGCGCTCCGCTCTCGCTGAGATTTAATAAACCGCGTTTATTCGGGATTTAATTAACAGCAGCTGTCGGGGGAGGGGGAGGGTAGATCGCAGTTGTCCTCCCGTGCCTCAGTTTCCCCAGCGCCAGCACTGCGTGTGCCGGCCCCCAGCGCTGCCCCAGCCCTGTCCTGCGTGTCACCCGTGTCCCCCGAAGCCAGGGCTGTGCCGTGCCACCCCGTGCCGTGCCCCACCGTCCCCGCCGGCTGTGGGCAGCACACAGGACGGACACACCGGGGCGGCAGCTCCTGGCACCGGCAGAACCGGAGGGGGGGCGCGGGGTCCCCCGAGTCCCCCCCACGCCCTGACACCGCTGATTTATCGCTCTCATTAGCGCGGCCCGGGAAGCATCTGGCCGCAATTAGCGCCGGCTCAGCGTCACCCGCCCCGGTGTCCCGCGTGTGCCCGGGGTCTCGGCGGCGCGGGGGCCGCATCCTGCCCGGTGTGTGTGTGTGTGTGAGGGGGGTTATCGGCGGACACCGGCGCTGCCTCCCCCCGCGCCGGTGACGTCAAGCGCTGACGCCGATCCGCCCCCTCAGCCGCCCGCGGGCTTGGCCGGCCGTGACGTCTGCCACCGCCACCGCCGCCGCCGTTAACTCCTTCCCCGGTGCCGCCCGCACCGGGCTCGCTGTGCCCCTGGCTGACCCACGGAGGGATGGTGTAACCCCCACCCCTCCCCGGTGAACCGGGCTTGGCCGGAGGGAGCGGCTGTTCGCTGGGTGAAGCCCGGTGCCACCGGGGCGCAGCGGTGACACGGGAGGTGTGGGGACATGCAGGAATGGCGGCTCTGTGGCCGGTCCCGGGCTGACCCGCAAGGTCCCGTGGCGGTGCCTGGCCCGGTGTGTTTGCTTATTTATTTATTTATTTATTTGTTGTACCCTTTTTACAGCCGGGCTCCGGCTCGGTGCCAGGGTCCAGTCCCGGTGCCGGTACCCAGTGCCAGGTTGCCGGTTCCTGTGCCCTGTGCCCGGTCCCGATTCTCAGTAGGCAATTCCCATGCCCGGTTCCCATTCCTATTCCCGGCGTCCGGTTCTCGTGCCCAGTTCCCGGTGCCCTGTGGCTGTTCCTATGCCCAGTTCCCGGTGCCCATTCCCAGTGCCCCGTGCCGTTCCCGTACCCGGTTCCCGGTGCCCTGTGCCGTTCCCGTGCCCGTCCCCGTGCCCTGTGGCCGGTTTCCGTGCCCGGTGCACGTTCCCGGTTCCCAGTGCCCGTTCCCGTGCCCAGTTCCCGTTCCCAGTGCCCATTCCCATGCCCGGTTCCCGTTCCCAGTGCCCATTCCCGTGCCCGGTTCGCCGGTGCGCACCGGGCGCCTCCCCCGCCCTCCCCGCCCCGCGCTCGCCCCGGTCCTCCCCCCGCCCCGGCGCCGTTTCCCCCGCAGCCGGGCGGGGGAGGAGGATGGAAACACCCTTCTACCATGATGATGTGTTGAGCGGCCTCGGCAGCGGCTTCGCTCCGTCCTCCGGCAGCAACGGGCTCCTCCTGCCTTTCCCCGGCGGCAGCATGATGAAGAAGGACGCGCTCGGGATGGCCTTACCGGAACAGGTGGCGGCGGCGCTGAAAGCCCCCGGCGCGGCCAGCGGCGAGGCGGCGGGGCTGCTGGGCTCGGCCGAGCTGGGGCTGCTCAAGCTGGCGTCCCCGGAGCTGGAGCGGCTCATCATCCAGTCCAACGGGCTGGTCACCACCACCCCGACGCCCGTTCCCGTGCCCGGTTCCCGCCCCTCCCTTTGTGCCCATCAGCCCCGGCGGGGCGCGCGCCGCTGGGCCACGTGACCGCCCCTCCCCCGCGCTGACGTCATCCCAGGGCCCCGCGCGCTGTTGTCCCGTTTACCCGCCGGTCGCCGCGGCGACGGGGCCGGGGCGTGGCCGGCACGGGGCGGGGCACCGCCTCCGCGGGGCGGAGGCCACGCCCCGTATGCAAACGACGGCTGGCGAGGACGTCATCTGCAGCCAATGGGGACTCGACGCGGTGAGGTCACCGCGACGGCGCCGCCTATTTAACGCGGCGCGGGGCGCGCGGCGGCGGCAGACCCGTGTGCGCGCGCGCAGGAGCGGGGCCGCGGCCGGTGCGCACCGGGCGCCTCCCCCGCCCTCCCCGCCCCGCGCTCGCCCCGGTCCTCCCCCCGCCCCGGCGCCGTTTCCCCCGCAGCCGGGCGGGGGAGGAGGATGGAAACACCCTTCTACCATGATGATGTGTTGAGCGGCCTCGGCAGCGGCTTCGCTCCGTCCTCCGGCAGCAACGGGCTCCTCCTGCCTTTCCCCGGCGGCAGCATGATGAAGAAGGACGCGCTCGGGATGGCCTTACCGGAACAGGTGGCGGCGGCGCTGAAAGCCCCCGGCGCGGCCAGCGGCGAGGCGGCGGGGCTGCTGGGCTCGGCCGAGCTGGGGCTGCTCAAGCTGGCGTCCCCGGAGCTGGAGCGGCTCATCATCCAGTCCAACGGGCTGGTCACCACCACCCCGACCAGCGGCCAGTTCCTGTACCCTAAAGCGGCCGCCTCCGAGGAGCAGGAGTTCGCCGAGGGTTTCGTCAAGGCGCTGGAGGACTTGCACAAGCAGAACCAGCTGGGCGGCGGCGCGGCGGGGAGCGGCGGCGGCGCGGGCGGCGGCGGCGGGGGAGGAAGCGGCGGAGCGGGCGAGCTGCCCGCCGCCGGGATGGCCCCGGAGCCGCCCGTCTACGCCAACCTCAGCACCTACCCGGCCGTCAGCTACGCCGCCGACCCCGGCCCGTTCGCGGCGCCGCCGCCGCGGCTGCCTCCGCCGCCGCCCCCGCCGCCGCTAAAGGACGAGCCGCAGATCGTGCCGGAGGTGCCGAGCTTCGGGGAGAGCCCCCCGCTGTCCCCCATCGACATGGACACGCAGGAGCGCATCAAGGCGGAACGGAAGCGGCTGAGGAACCGCATCGCCGCCTCCAAGTGCCGCAAGAGGAAGCTGGAGCGGATCTCCCGGCTGGAGGAGAAGGTGAAGAGCCTCAAGAGCCAGAACACGGAGCTCGCCTCCACCGCCAGCCTGCTCCGCGAGCAGGTCGCCCAGCTCAAGCAGAAGGTGCTCAGCCACGTCAACAGCGGCTGCCAGCTCCTGCCCCAGCACCAGCACCAAGTGCCGGCGTACTGACCCCGGGCGGGCCCCAGCCCGGGCACGGACCGAGGGGTACCGGGCAAGGACCCGGGGGAGCGCCCGCCCTGCCCCGGGCATGGACCGAGGGGAACGGGGAAAGCGCTCACCTCGCCCCGGGAACGGACCGAGGGGTCCCGGGCAGGGACTGAGGGGAGCGGGGGAAGCGGCCGCCTGCTCCCGGGCAAGGACTGAGGGGAGCGGGGGAAGCTCCTGCCTTGTCCCGGGCATGGACCGAGGGGTCCCGAGGGGAGGAAGAAGAGCGATGATCGCCCCCCCTCCACCTCCCCAGACACGGTGTGAGGGGAGGCCCAGGAGCGGCTCCGGGCCGTGGGCTCCGGCTCCCCGCGGAGGGACAGGCCGGGGGTTCCCCGCCGCGCACGGACTGAGAGGGGCCCGGGCCGCCCCCCCCGGGTCCCTCCGCGCCCCACACATTCCAGTGAGGTCCCAGTAAAACCCCGCGACACGGAGAATTGGCCTCTGGCTGTTTGCTGCGCCCGGGAGGGACGGGAAGGGAAGGGAAGGGGCGGCGCGGGCAGGAAGTGGCGCGGCCGGGTGCCATCTTGGGCTGAGGGGGAAACGGGACCGGGGGGGTCTGGGGAGTTCTGAGGGGCGATGGGGAGTGGGCAGTGAGACCCCTCCAGGGCTGGCAAAGAGGCTCTGGGGATCACTGGAGAGGGTGGAGGGCGAGGGGGTCCAAGGGGTTGTGGTTTTTTTTGGGGAGGGGGAAGGGTGGAGGATGTTGTGGGGAGAGGGTGGTGAAAAGTTGGGGTGTTGCGGGGGCCGTGGGGTTGTTTGGGCTCTCTTGGGGGGAATATGGGTGTATTTGGGCTCCCCTGGGGCTGGGGGGGGTCCCCATGTGTGAGGAGGTGGGCGAGGGGACCCCACTGCTGGTTCTGGCTGTGGCTCTGCCCTGCCAGACCCTCTCCGTGTTGGGGGGTTCACCAGCACCCCCCTGTCCTGGCCCCCGCGGGTCACCCCGAGGCACCCAGCGCGGCCGGGCCTCCTCTGCTCCTCCCAGACTTCGGCAACACCCTTGGGCTTCCCGGCACCGCAAAGGCTCCTCCTTCGCCTTCCCCACCTGCGGGGCCCCATCCCGGGGACAGCAGCACCGAGGCACCGGCCCCGTGTCCCGGGGACGCTGCTGGCGGCAGCTCCAGCCCGTTCCAGCAGCGGCATCGCCCCGCTCCCGGCAGCCGGCTGTGCGAGACAGCGCGGGGTCCCTGGGGGGCTCCCCGGGGGCCCCACGTTCAGCACCGGACCGTGCCTTGGGGGGTTCCTCAGGGACCCCCACATTCAGCACCGGACCGTGCCTTGGGGGGTTCCTCAGGGACCCCACATTCAGCACCGGACCGTGCCTTGGGGGGCTCCCCGGGGACCCCACGTTCAGCACCGGACCGTGCCTTGGGGGGTTCCTCAGGGACCCCCACATTCAGCACCGGACCGTGCCTTGGGGGGCTCCCCGGGGACCCCACGTTCAGCACCGGACCGTGCCTTGGGGGGTTCCTCAGGGACCCCACATTCAGCACCGGACCGTGGCGTGGGTGGATCCCCGGGGACCCCACGTTCAGCACCGGACCGTGCCTTGGGGTGTTCCCCGGGGACCCCCCGTTCAGCCGTGCCGTGGGTGGCTCGCCGGGGACGCGGTGCCCGCCGCTCCGGTTTGCCGGAGGAAGCGCCGTCCCCTCCCGGCGCGGTTGTGCTGCGCCCCGGATGTGCCGCTCCGACGCCAAGATGGACGGGGCGGCCACCTGTCCGGCCCCGTGTCACCAGATCCCTGTGTCCCCAAGTCCCCGCATCCTCATGTCCCCAGATCCCATTGTCCCTGCATCCTGATGACCCCGGGTCCCTTTGTCCCCACATTCCCACGGTCCAGTGTTCCTGTATCCCGATATCTCCCGTTTCCCAGGTCCCTTTGTCCCAAAATCCCCACATCCCAGTGTCCCCGCATCCCCCGATCCCTTTGTGCCCGCTTCCCGGTGTCTCCACGTGTCCGCAGAGATCGCGGCAGGGCTGGCTCCCGGTACCGGGGGTGTTTCACGACCGCGGGGTGGGAGATGGGCGGAGGAAACGGCCGGAGTGTGTGTGGGTGGGGGAATTTTGGGGGGTTTCTCCCGGTGCCCGCAGGGTCCCGGCGCTGCGGTGCCGCCCGGTACCGACAGGGGGCGGCCCCGCCTCCCCCGGGGCGGATAAAGTCGGCGGCACCGGCACCGGGCGGGATGGCCCGGGGCGCGCTCCGCCTGCTCTGCTGCGCCGCTGCCCTGCTCGCTGCCGCAGGTACCGGGCACCGGGGAGGGTCCACGGGGTCCCAGGGGCACGTGGGAGATGCAGCACCGGGGGGCTGGGTGCTTCCCGGTACCAGCGGTGGGTGCGTCTGTGGCCTCCCCCCGCCCAGTTCCAGGTATGGGGAGAAGCGTCCAGGTGCTCCGGGGCACCGGGGAAGTTCGGGGAGGCGACCACGCGTTGCCTCGCGGTCTGCACCGGCAGCCCAGTGGGGCACTGGGGGGGTTCCGTGTCCCTTTTGGGGCTGGGGTCAGCGGGGGGCTGCACCTCCTCCCCGGGAGTGCCAGGCTGCACCGGAGCACCCTGCCCCTCCCGGCCGATGCGGTGCCTGGGCTGCCAAACCGGCTGGTCCTGGCACGGGTACCCTGGCACCGCAGCAGCACTCCCGGGGCAAAGGGCTCCCCGGTATCCCGGGCCACTGTGGGCCCCCCGTTTCCAGCCTGGGTCCCCCACACCCTCCCTGCACCCCGAGGGGCCTCGGCTCAGCCATCCTGGCACACTGGGTGCTTGGCCCTGGGCTCCATGCCACCCTGGCAGAGGGTGGCAGCTGCTGGGGACAGCCCATCCCAGTGAGCCTGGCAGCTGTGGGGACCCCCAGCCACGCTGTGCCCCTGGGTGCTGGCTCTGCCAGGGGACATTTCTGTCCGGTGTCCCCCTGGGGCCAGTCTGGACTTGCTGCTCCTCTTGTGCAAACAGGATTCGGGCAGATAAGGGGCACTGCCCGGCAAACCTGCTCTGTCCCACGTGGCCACGGGAGAGTCCCTGGCACGCCTGGCCCTGAGGGTGTCCGGTGGGTGCCACAAGGGCTGGGTCAGCACGTGTCCCTGTGGCCTGGCACTGCCCGCTGCTGCCACGCTGCTCTGCTTGTCCCCAGCAGTGCTGTGGCCGTGCCACGACAGCTCGGGGAGCTCTTCTGGTTCTGGATTTCTGGGATTTGATCCTGGCTAAATGCCAGCTTTCTGTGTGATCAAAATCACCTGGGACATGATCTCTGTGAGGCCAGGAGGTGGGGCAGGTGCTGCTGCCCTGCCAGGACCCTGCCAGGGCCCTGCCATGTGCTTGCTCACCAGCTCTCTCCTCCAAGGTCTGGAGCCAGGACGTGGCACTGATCCTGCCATCACAGCGTCTCAGAACAGCTCAGGGACAGCCGTGTCACCGTCTCCATCCCGCTCAGCCACAGCCACCAGCCAGGGCACTCAGAGTGTGAGTCTGTCTGGCCCTGACTCGGGAAGGGTCCATGCAGTTCCAACCAGCTCCACCACACCAACAACCCCATCCAGTACCTCGGCATCAAAAACACCTCCAATATCTTTGTCCAGCCCCACCACACCAGCAACCCCATCCAGTACCTCGGGATCAACATCTCCATCCTCTGCATCCAGCACCAGAACACCAACTCCATCCAAGACCTCGAGATCAACACCTCCATCATCTCCACCCAGCCCCACCACACCAACAACCCCATCCAGTACCTCAGGATCAAAACCACCTCCATCGTCTCCATCCAGCCCCACCACACCAACAACTCCACACAATATTTCAGAATCAACACCTCCAGTATCTTCATCCAACACCACCACAGCACCATCTTCAGCCAGGACTCCAGGATCAACGACACCTTTGATACCCTCATCCAATGCCACCATGGCACCACCTCCACCCCACACGAGTGTGTCCAGACCCACAGAGCATCCATCCAACTCAACCACACCACCAGCCCCATCCTCACCCAAGCCCTCTGGGCCTGCCTCTCCCAGCTCCCCCACCGTGAGCCCGGGTCCCAACAGCACCAGCACTGTCACCACCAGCTCCAGGAGGACAGCAGCCACTGGCAGCATGGCTGGGAACTCTGGTGAGAGCCAGGCTGGGGGGCACTGGGCAGCTGGGGGACCTGGGAATGACCATGGGCCCCCCTGGATCCCCCACTTGGGGCTGCACTCACAGTAGGGCTCAGGGGTGCAGGTCCCAAGGTGAGGCCAGAGCCCCCCTGGCTGCTCCCCCCTCCTTGGGGGAGTCATTGTGGGCTCCCCTTTTCTCCTCCAGTCTCTGCCAGGGGGGGTCAGAGTGCCCTGGTGGAGGTGACACAGGAGCTGGGTGCCAGGTCTGTGGTGGGTGGGCTGGTGGCAGTCGGGTGACTGGAGCCAGGCTTGAGCCACCTCTTTCTCCGTGGTGCTTGGAGGCTGGGCACGAGTCTCAGTGGGAGGAATAACGGGGTGCCAGGGAGGAATACAAGGGTGCCAAGGGGGGATAACGGGGTGCCAGGGGGAACAACACGGTGCTAGGGAGGAATAACGGGGTGCCAGGGGATATCACAGGGTGCCAGGGGGGAATAACAGGGTGCCAGGAGGAATAACGGGGTGCCAGGGGGAATAACGGGGTGCCCATCTCACCCCACAGAGCAGCACCCCACTGAGCTGAGCCCTGCTGTGGTTGTCCTCATCTCCCTGGCCGTGTGCCTGCTGCTGCCGGGGGTGGCCGTGCTGCTGGTGCAGCTGTCCCGGCGCGGGACCCCCCCCTTCCAGCACCTGGATGAGGTGCCCATGGTGCGTGGGGGGGCCGGCGGGGGGGCGGGGGGGGGCGCTGCCCGGGCGGGACCCTCGGACCGGGATCAGCACGGAGCCCCCCCGGGCCGCTCCCCGCGCCCCTCACCGCTGCTCCGTTTCCCGGCAGCGCTGCCGCGATCCCGCCGAGGCCGCCCCGTCGGGCCCGGTCCCGGCAGCGGCCGTGGGCGCCGTGCGCCGCCGTTTCTCCGGGACCCCGTTGCTGCCGCCGCTGGGCTGCCGGTTGGCGGAGGCGGCCCGCGCCCCCGAGCCCGAGGCTGCCCGGGTGGTGTTCACCATCGAGGAGAGCGGCCCCAGCAGCGGCGATGAGTCCGAGCCCCCCCGGTAAGGGCGGGACGGGGAGCGGGGAGGTGATGCCCCGGTGGCACCGGGAACGCGTTACCGGGCAGGGCACGGCTGGCGGCGACGCTCCCGGCTTCAGCACCGGCGGCCGGACAGCGGCACCGGGGCAGAGCGCACGGTGGGTTGGGGACAAGCTCCTCTGTCACCGTGCTCGCTGTGCCAGCCTCGGGATGCCCATTGTGATCACCGTCTGTCCCTGTCACCGCACAACACTCCTGTCCCCCACTGTCCCTGCCACTCCCATCCACCTTTTCCCCACCACCCATGCCTGTCCTCACCCTCATCAC